ATGATTGTACTAGTTACTTTTGTGATTTAAAGAAAAGGCTGACAGCTTGCCATTGTTCTTATCCTGGAGGCTGTAGTGATACTCCATGAATCTATATTTCCGATATTACACTACTCATATGCATGTTTATTTATGAGGCTGAACCAAGTAGCTGTCACTGGAACTGCTCACCATATCATCTTTCACATGCATATACAAACTTTCATCAATATTTTTGTAAGCAAAGGACACCAAAATATTAGAATCTTTTGCAGAAGCTGTAATACACAAGCAGATTATGCACTGTGCTAGGCTATACTCAGAGCTCACTCACAAGGATTAAGAATGAACAAGTTTTATAAGTTTACCACTGATGTTTCCAGAGGGAAAAAATATCCATGACAAATTGGTATACTGCTCTCTAAAACTGGACCTGAAGACTGTTCATAATACCAAAGCTACAGCAAGAGGAGACGGAGGTGAGGAATTAGGGTTCACTGAATAAGCAGTGAAGGGGTATTAGGGAAATAGCAAGGCCATCCTTGGGGGCCCATGCACCACAGGAAAAACTCTGGTTTCAGTGAAAGGGTAGCCCTATGGGAGGGGCACAATGGGGGGATTTAGAACAAAAGCAGGAAAAAGGGGAAGAAATGGAATTAGAAGGAAATATAAGGCGCATCATCTCCAGGTTGGACGCAGTGTTATGGGAATTCACAGTAGGAATTTCCCCAGTCTGTAAACTTTTGGTAACAGATTTATAGCAGGCTGGTCATTTCAGATTTTAAAAACCCACGGAAGGCTTTTGTTCCAGGTGAACACAGGGCAGTAAGAGCTATGATGGCTGGTGGAAGCTGGCAGAGGACTAGACCATCACTGGCAGTGATTTCTAGTTCGGTGGGTAAAAGGTAATAATAATTGTTTTGTCTTATATTGTATCTTACTGCATTTATAAACTGTTGTTCAGCACCCAGAGAGCTTCTGCTACTGGGTTATATACAAATGAATAAATAAAATTCCTGAAGCCCACACAATGCAGACTGCAATTTAAAAATAGCATTTTGAGCTGGGACCTATGAAGCAATGGAAAAGATCACAGAACATAGCAGTTCACCCTGTGAATCAGCTGCACAGTGTAGGTTATTCATGACATAACCCGTGGTGTGCCCAACAGATGATTGGCTTATCATGGGTTGTCCTTCCCCTTCTTCTTCCCCACTTGGTCTTCCCACAGGCATCCCAGGACCCATCTGGTCACCTTTTCCTGCACAGACCACAAGCCCTTTTGCACTCACTGTGGCTCTTTCCCACTTCCCATTTTCTTCTGATATCACTACTGCTTTCCTCAGCCTCCACAGTGACAGCCCCTGACAGCCCTTTCGAAATGTATAATCTGGTTTGTCACATTTTACTGCACCAGAAATTTGTGCAAGTAGATCCATTTTTTTAAAAGGGTGTTTCACGAGTGTGCACAATTTCATGTGACCAAAATGAAAAACCTTGCCTCATAAATGTCCCAAGAAGTGTCTCCTGTCAAAATGCAGGTGGTGTTATCCAGGAGCATGGCTAAAACACCAACTTTCTTTATTTGTTTCCCCTGACTGCTTTCAGATGGTGAGCTGTCAAGTGAAAGGAGAGCTGGATGAATGTATTAGTCCATGAAAGGGAATAGCCTCTGGATCAGCCCCAGGATCAGATTCTCCAGTTTTTAAGACTGAACCTGACTGTTCTTAGTACCCTCCATCTTTCCCACCCCTTCCCAAGATTCTAGGTTCTCAGGAAAAGGAAAGGTACAAGCCACCCCATTTGTGGTGTGCATATGACCTTCTCAAAAAGCCCTGATTAGTTCTGTCAAACTTCATTTTAAAAGGAAGCCTGAACTCCCACACTCCCATAAATGTGGTGGCTATAAGCAACGGTAAAATCTACAGCCTTAAGCAGCCTTAATACTACACAATTGCTCATTGCCCTGTCAGTCAAGGGTCTTCTATGTAACTCATCTCCTCTAGCTCTTTACTGAATTGGAAACTATAGTAGATGGTTTAGATTACGGTAGGTTAAAAATACCAAGTCCAGCATGCACAGGACCCTCGCCTCTGATCACTGTATTTGTTCTTTACAGTAATTCTTGCTTGTTCCAAAGGAGCCATCTAGCTTTCCATCCACTTACAGAAACCAATTTAATGTGTGTTGAACAGAAATATTTACATTCCAGTCAGAGTAAACTACACATTGTACATAATTGCAGTTACATGGGAGCTTCTATATGTTTCACCCTGGGAAAAACCAAGGAGTTAAATATGTCAGAAACACATGCTGAGGTGAAAGAATTAAGTAGCCCCTCTCGTTTACCATCCTCTGATAAGTGTAAGACTCCAGAGATGCTTTTCATTAAAAATAATAAAGTAGATTCAGTGATATTCAACAATATGTAATGTGTGGCTGTCTCTTTGATAACTGTCATTAAAGATCCTTGGGCAGTCAGCACAGGCACTGAGCATCTTAAGAGTTATATGCAATGTTGGAGCAGCCCTGTGCTAGATTTCTGCCTCTGATGAAAAACACTGGGTTTGATCATAAGAGAATTAGTGTTATATCAAATGAGACAACTCAGTGCAACCTAGATTTTAATACAGGTATCAACTAAAATTGAAGATACCTTTCCATTTCACTTTGTAGTCAAGATAAGAAATGTATTTTCCCAAGGGGCATATCTGAATCTCTAGCTTTGCTAACTTTAAAGGGAAAATTTACATGTTTCTGTGCACCAGCAGCCCTTGTATGAACTAATATATGTTTGCATCTACTTTAGCCTACTCCAATCAAGTCTGTATAACATTTGAACTTTTCCATCATGTCATGATAACACCATTTTCTCTACATGGTTAAGAATAATTTGTATTTCAATTCTGCCAGGGAAAAGATTTATGTACTTGAAATCTAAGATGCTTATATATTTATAATTAATCCATCACGTCACATGTTTTTTCTCTAGATAGGACATTGTATCAATAGAAAATATATGTGAAGGATATAGAACTGAAAACATTAAAACCAAAGCAAGGAAAACTCTTATGTAGGAGCAACATAGTACACTCACGTTTGGATAAAGTTTAGATATGCTACTTGGGACCAGTTTTGATAACATATCCAGAAAGATGTATATCATGCAAATTGGCTATATGAACCTCACAATCCTTTAGTCATCCAGTGCCAACTGGAAGCCCATGGCACCCTTACACTGCACTAGACTTAGAAAGTCACCAGGAATACAGGAACAGAAGATGGCTTCGCCCAGCTAAGTTTAAACAAGGAAAAACCTATGTTAGTGATCCTTAAGGTGCCCATCTCATCTAAGATACTTACAATATACACTGGGTCATTTCTGTATAGTATTACACACTAGGAGCACCTCCTTTTAAACCACAGATTGAAGTGTATAAAATACTGTATTTTTACCCATCTTTTAAGCTTTAAAAACCCATCAACCTTGAGAGATGTTATGATGTAACTTCAGTAAGCAGAAGCCTAGCTTTATTACTGTTTAGTTCCTAAACTGCTTATGAATATCTTGGCTATGGTTGCTACAGAAGGGAGAGTCAAGATGAGTTAGAAAGTGTGTTTTTCTAATGAGATTTAATGGCAGTCTCAAAGACTCCAGTTCAGAGTCCATTAGAGACAGTTTGTTAATGACAGGGAAGAAGTGTTAAGGGTTGTTAGCTGAAGGGAGAGTGCACACAGCTGCAGAAATGAAGAATTTCAGCTCTGGTTGTGGCAAGCAGGAGCCATATTGCAAGGCTATAGAGAAGTATCAGGCTGGCGGTGGAGCCCAGCAGCAAAGGACTGACCAGAGCAAATAGTCCCTGAAACAGAATCATTTTTGAAGCCAGAGGCAACAAGAAAAGCTGGAGGCAAAAAGAGACTTCTGTATAGCATCTATTTCTGGATTTGCTGGCCCAGCATTTGTGGAAAAGTGATCTAAGTGAAAAGCTATTGCAAGCAGATTAGCAGGAAAGACTTTCTTACTGAGCAAACTGACAAAACATATTTGATCCAAGTACAATTACATGTTCTTAACCTACTATTTGAAAAGTGGCATCCTATAAACTTATGTAAATAATTTTGCTAGAGAGCAGTTAGTTTGGATTATCAAATGAAAGTGTCAGTCCCATGTCTACTCTTGGTTACGCGGCTAGAGAAAACTTATTTTGATAGCACTGGTTTTATGAATAATGACTTCATAACTGAGACAATATTGACTAATCCCTAGCTCTGAGGTCTGTTTAAGAAATGGCAGGAACTATGCCATTTAAAACTATGAAATTCCATAAGTTCTGTGTGGTTTCTCCACATTTGATGATATTGACAAGATATCTACCAACTGTAACTTCACTATCTATGGTGCCTATTGATGCCATGGCATTCCATCATCATTCTTCCATAGCATGCAAACACTGGAAATGAATGGCCTGGCTGATACGAGTCCTCAAATGAAGTAGCAGCTACATGGAGCCCTTAAATGGATTATTTTGTCCAAAGGTCCTGTCTTGTTTAAGTTAAGCCTTAATGTGGTGGGATCATACTATGATTGAGCTGATATATACACAAGGTATAATTAGTGGTTTGAATCAATATTTAAACAGTCAAATTCTGTCGCGCCATCTGCATTCACTGTCTGTTCCTTCCTCAGGGACAAGTCAGTGATGTCAAGTGAATAATCCCACAGAGAATTACTGCTATGTTTAAGAAAAGAATCAGAGCCCTAGAGACCTCCTTTCTTTTCTGCCTTCTCTGTTTAGGAAAGTTACATGCTTACTCAGGTCAATTCAAGTCAAAAATTGCAAACTTTAAGCAACAGTACCATCAAGCTGATATTAGGTCTGCAGTGGAAAGCAACCTGACCAGCATGCAAGATAATTTGAAATAGAACATAAATGTGGGGAGGGGGTAATGAGGAGGGAAGCAGGTGGAATAGCAAGTATTTCGAGATTATTTTTTAAAAGGTGGGAAGGATTGGTACATGCCTTTCAGGGTTCTCCACTTCTTCAGTAACAAAATTGAGATAAAACCTATAAAAGCAAAGTTTTAAATGATATTATTTATTTCGCATTTCTCAGCACAGAATATTTCTTATTTTATTTATTTATTTTATTTATTAAAACATTTTTATGCCGCCCCATTCGCCGAAGCCTCGGGGCGGCTTACAACAATATTTTTACCTCCACATTAACACTGTGTAATATTTTATGCACTAAGTAGTGCTTAGAACTTATAAACTATCATCAGAATAGGATAAATGAGTCCCAGGATCAGATAGGTCACTTAAACAGATCCGTTCTACCAAGTCAAATCACTGGTCTAGCTCAGTATTGTCAACACTGAACAGCAGCAGCTCTCCAAAGTCGGGCAGAAGTGTTTCCTAACCCTACCAAGAGTTACCAAGGGTTGGATCTAGAAGCTTCTGCATGCAAAGCATGCACTCTGGCACTGAGCACTTACGTATGTATCCTATGTAAGAGTCAGGGTGGTGAAATAGAATAGGGTGCCAGTCCCTACTTAGCCATGAAAGTCACCAGATGACTTTGGGTCAGTCACTCTCTTTCAGCACAATCTACCTCAGACAATTGTTCTGAGGATAAATTGGAAAGAGAGGACTATCTAAACTAACTTGGGTTCCTTACACGAAGAAATAAAGAAGGGAAATGCAATAATAACTAAATAAGTTTAACCTCGCTAGCATAGGCCCTTCTTGCGTTTTCATTTAAACAAAGAGGGCAGCTGGTCTGGGACCATCTGGGATATGATTGTGGGAAGAGCAATCCTAAAGGGAGACAGCAAAATGGCAAATGATCTGCCACTTTCAAAGCCTGTAAGTTCACACCTTTTTTGGGCAGAGGAGGGAGTTTGTGGGGTTTTTTTTGTTGCTTACAATGAGAAGGAAACTACTGAGTTCCAAGCTGGCATAACTCATGGACATGATCCTGGACCCAGCCTTGGGACTGGAAGGTCTTTGAGTCTAGTAGACCCACCTCCCAGCATGCTCTGTTTATTACCCAGAATACCTCAGACTACCACTGGTGGAATGCCTAGACCTACTGACCTGTCCACAGGCATACCCAGGCAAATGCCCACCCCATCTGCAGTTATTCTCCATCAGCAAAGGGGCACTTGTCCCCAACTCTAACTCCCTCCAGCTATTGGATTAGCTTAATTATCAAATAATATTTCAGTAAATCCAACCTGCCACACAACTTACCATCCTGAGTAGGCATACATTCCCGAATAAAAAGCAAGAGGCAATCCCTTGACACTGGCTGCATTCCCCACAAACGCGTCTTTAAAGTGCTGATTTTCTCCTGAAAACAATTTTTTTTTGAAAAAGCCATACTAATTATTAAGGGTGAAGATCACCAAAATAAACATCTGTGAGATAAATCATTTCACAAAAACCTTCCAACTTAAGCTTATTAACCAGCCTGACAAACTTTTGATAAAGCAGATATGCAAAGGAGGCAAATAAACATGAAATGACAAATTGATCGGTGAATATGCTGCCCACCCCATTCCCACTCTGATGGGTTGTTATTGGCTACATTCATGGACTTCAACAGAGCTATTGCAAATTTGAGTTGAATTGGATAGCATATGCTATGTGATAATATAGTAGTAACCATCTGTAAAATATTGAAAGAAAGATGAAAAGTTCTTCACAGTAAGTAAGAGACATCATAACCCAGAGCCTGTGCTATCCTATTCCTCCCTCCTATAGTTTGTACTGTAGGCATTACACAACTAACTGGCACTCCTACTATTTTTCTAAGGAACAGAATTATTTTCCTAACACTTTTCCAGCAGTGTTAAGAAAACAGTGTTTCCTATGCATGTTTATACAGGGAAAAGTCCTACAGTTATATGTATAGACATCCATAGTATTGTGTCCCAACACTGTTATTTTTCTAATACAAGTTAGTAGCTAAAAACATGCAGGTGTTTCACATGATATTCAGTTCTAGGAACTGCACTAATCTAAGCAAACATTGGACCTATCAAAATGCATAAGGTAAACATATTGGAAATGGTGCCCAGGGGGTGGCTACATACACAAAATAAGAGGCTATGTGCTCATATTTGCCACCAACTGCTTAGGATATTTATACTCCTAATTGCCGTGAAGATTGTTTGCAAAGGAGTTCTACTATTTTTTTTAAAAAGCTAGGAGAAAAACATGTTGACAAAATAATCCATTCCCTGAGGGCATGTGGGCATTCATACGTTAAGAAAGTCGCTTTTCTACTTTCCATTTCACCAATATACTTATTCAGAAGTTGCATTAAAAGTTTCTTTGTGGGAATACAGCTCTATCCATCATAATATAGAAAATAAGATCATGAGAAAATTTGCTATGGATAAACTACTACACATGAATTCTTTAAGATTTCAGAAATATTCTTCATGCAAAGTTATTTTACTCTTCTTGCTATTAACCTACATAAAAGATATAACAATATATTTGTGGGAGGCAATGCAATTCAGTGATGTTCACATCTTTGGATTTGGAGGAAACCATAAGGCTACTGATTCTTTTATTTTACCAAATATCAGCAGCCAAATTCTGACATTTGTTTTGTTTTTTTAATTTGTTATTGCTGAAACCAATGTAAGTTTTACACAAGTAATGACATAAGCCCAAATTTTCTGCTATTTGCATACTGTTGACATAGTGCCACTTCAGATAAACACAGTATGCTATCTAAAACTTACAACCCAATTCTTTTGGCAGGAATTCATCTTGGATGCCTGAGAGAAGCTGTGTCGAGCTTTTGTTACAGAGAGTGCTGTGGTTCCTTGCTCTAGATACATCAAAATCAACCTGCAACTTCTCCTTCCATTGTACTGCCTGAGGGCTTGCCTGTTTTAATGTATGGGCCACACTGCTCTTTCAGAGAAAACACATTTTTCAAAGTTCAAGGAAACACAGACTCAGTTGAACATAACTTGAAGTCATGCTTTCCTGTTACAAGAATGTATCATAAAAGGCTTGGGTTTCATCTACACCAAATACCTTCTGATACTGATGCAACTCAATTGCACAATCTCTTGAAATAGCATTTACTTCACCCATAGGACATGGTGCCACATATAAGTGTACATTTCGTATGAATGTCCCTTTCAGGAGGCAAACTTCTGAAACCCTATTAAGTTCAGTATATATAGGTGGGATCTTGTGACATGAACATAACACTATCAATTGTTACAACAACATCTGTCCCATTCAATCATGTCACACACCAGGAACAAAGCTAGTATAAATTTGATAGCACTATGATCAAGTACACCCCTTTTTACTGGTTCTTCACATATAACCAGATTGGCTTTCATGTACATTTCAAGTTAGATACAAATCTCAGATGTTCCTGACTTTCAGACTCCTGTGCAGGCTTGTCCAGAAGCGTACTCTGACCCACTCATGCTTCCAAACTAGATCTGGAGTTGATACAGCTGATTATAGTGTGGCACGTAGGAACATTGGAATGATTCACCACCTGGCAGCCTTCAAGCTGCATTTATTTTATCTCATCTGCAGTTTTGTTGAGTCCATCTTTTGTCATTTCCTGAGCAGCTAAATCATAGGAAACTATGTTCTTATGACTTGCTATTAGCTGGTGCTTTGTTGTCCCCAGATAGCAAGAAAATCTAGGATTTCAAGGTGTTTCCATGAAACATCACCTCCCTCAGCTGCTGAATTTCCCAGCACCATTATGGACAACTGTGCAGCAGTGGCTCAGTGGAGAAACAGAAAGACTTGTGATTCATACATGTGCAGTTGCTTGGTTCAGAAATGGGAAGTAAAAGCAGCCACCTGACTTGTAGCTCAGTAAACTCAACGCACATACTGGGACACACACAAACATTTCAGCAGATAAACTGTACCTTCTACTATGAATTCATGCCAGAAATACAGGATACATTCAAATCTCAAACTATGGGGAAGTTGCAATAAATGGAAAATATATTACTACAGGAATTTGCAAATATATATATTTTTCAGAAACAAAATCTAGCAATGGAACAGATTGATAATTACATAGCATGCCAGAATGTAAGATATAGTTGTATCACAATAAATTCTCCATGTAGATTAGCCCTGGGGCTTTCATTTTCTTCCCTCCTGTCCTCTTCTTCATTTAAGCTTAGCAAACTTAAAGCTTCCCTTTGCAGTTTGAAACAAACTGGTTTTCCATTAGATCTGAATATGGAAAACTGCGATTTGAACAAAGTTAGTCAGATGGTGGTTTTAGAACCTGCATATGAATTGATTGTGGCTTGAACAACCCAAAGTTCCTGTATTTAGATGTACTAGGAACTGTGGTTTGCTCCAAAACTGCAAAGTCAAAGGGAAGTGGAACAGAACACCATGAGCCAAAAACTTGTTATAGTGTATTCTCATACATCTGAAATGATCCACAGGGGGAAAAGTACTTTCATGATGAAAAGGAATGCTCTAACAATGGTTAAAAAATAATGTTCATTCAAATATTGGGAATACTGATTGTGGCTAGCACATGCTTAATGGGATACCACATGCAAAATCTGGACATGAAGTCCTGCTGGAATGATACAAGGAATAATGTCTGCCAATTATTCTCACAGCATCTAGGCTGAGCTTCAAGCTTCATTCAAATCTGGTTCACATATCTAATGTTCCAGTATCTCAAGTGGCTTTAAGTACCATTCTAAGGTGTTTACAGGTGGTTTGTTTGTTTGTTTGCTGTGAGCCATTCATTGATCCTTCATCTGAAAGTTATGGCTCCCTCATCAGCATGCTGCTATAAGTATTCTGCTTGGCATAGTTCTGGTTATTTACATGACAGTATGGAGCTTAAGTTGAACAAGCAGAGACTAATTAAGAGATTTTGCTGGCATAAGCACTATTTGGTAGGGGCAAGGGTGGGCAGCAGGAGATAAAAGCACTTAAAATAGCATTTACTTTTCAGTTCATACCTTTAATTAGCTGCATAACTCCAGGGACTATAATTATCAAAATTGCTATGAGCTTGCAAAAGGTTAGGAAAATCTGGATGCGGGTACTCCAGCTGACACTCATGCTATTCAAGACCATTACAATTGCTGGAGAGGGGAGAGAGAGAGAAAGAGTAGTTAAAGAAAAGTACTGTTTATCCATCAAAAAGTACCCTAAGTTCCATCAAGGGAGAACTTCTTCCAGCATGTACTCTAGGCATTTGCAAATGAATGAGACTTACCTTTCAAAACATTTCCTTCACTAGCCTATTTGCAGCTCAGATTTTCCACCTTTGCACAGTCCTCAATGTGCCTCTACTGAAACACTCCACCTGCCCTTGCACCCCACATGGTACTAAGTATAAATCTATTCACAACTTTTCAGCAAAAGACAGTACAGCCTCCTCCTCACTGGATGAACTGTTTGGCATTGACACTCTATGGACTGGTACAATTAAGCTTTCAAACTGAAAATGAATTTCACATTCCCTTGCAGTTAGAAGCTTTGTTTGATTTAAATACAGATTTGTATAACATCCAGGAAAAAAATGAAGAACATTTTAAAAAAGCAACACTTCAAGGCCTTACAATTATGAGTTCCACAAAACATTATCCTTAAGTTCATTGTGCACATTAACAGAGGAATACATAAGCTCTGTGCAGGCATTCTCAACACAATCAGGGCTAAACTGCATAGGAAATAAGGACACGCATACAAACACCATTCCCTAATGTTCCCATTCCTCAGCTACATCATGTTCCACAGGGATCCATTTTGTCCCCCTTGCTATTCAACATCTACATGAAACCGCTGGGAGAGGTCATCAGGAGGCATGGGCTGTGGAATCATCAGTATGCTGATGATACCCAGCTCTACCTCTTGTTTTCCACCAATCCAGGTGAGGCAGTGGCTGTGCTGAACTGGTGCCTGGCCGAGGTAATGGGCTGGATGAGGGCCAATAAACTGAAGCTCAATCCAGACAAGACGGAGGTCCTGTTGGTGGGTGGTTCAGGACTCGGGATGGGGGACTTGGGCCTTGTCCTAAATGGGGTTGCACTCCCTCAGAGGGAGTGCAACCCCATTTAGGACAAGGCCCA